TAGCGATGTTTACTCATAGAGACGATTAATCCGGAATGGATTAACATCGCTATGCGGGGCACCACTGTATTTTCCTATCCTTAACTCTTGTTGGTTTCTTGGTAATGATGTAGGCTCAGAATTAAGAAGTAATTAGCCCCATGCAGACGTATTGGCTCATAGCGGGAAGAAAGAGTGCTGCTATATGAATCATGCTTGATGTTTGCATGTTCTCCGTGGTTCACAAAAAATTTAAAGCTCTCCTTTCAGGGTGGTAACTCTTCTTTCTCCTCTGCAGGGACTGGTGAAGAACAGGAAATTCCAAGAAAAGGTGAGCTAAGATGCGAAAATGATAAAAAACACCAACCCCTTCGTGCTCCGGGGTGTCCCTGAGTTTATTCTAAACTAACATATTCATAGCCTTAACCTTTCCATTGACTGAATGTTTAGAATGATTAATAATTCAATGTTTTGATCATTTCCAGAGGTTCGTGAACAGCTGGTGCCGCCGAGATTCCTGGAAAGATTTACCAACAAAAAAGTGAGGAAAGGGGCAAGCATTACCCTCTCCGTGAAAGTTGAAGGTAAAAACCAATGTTCAGGCCATCGCTACACAACCTCCTCCCCAGTTTTTGAGCTGTTGAATCCTGTGTAGCTGGTAGAGCCAAAGGCTTGTGTTAACGCCGTTTTTAAACTGAATATATTTATTGATTGATTTGATTTGATTGGTACCCCACCCATCTGGTCTATAAGACCACTCTAGGCAGCTTTATATGCTTTGTTCCTCGAGTGATTCAAGGACAGGAGCGTTGAGGAGCTTAAAGTCCAAAGCCTGAAAACCGGAAGAGAAAGGAGGAAAAGAGGGATGGAAACAGGCCGCCATGTTTGAGCCATGTTTGACGTTTACCTCAGCGGCAATCCCAGGTTAACTCAAGGGTGCTAAACGGCTGCGGAGAGATGACCGGGCAGCCCTGGATCATTGTTGTACTCCTCCTCCACCCCCTTTTTCTCCCCTTTAGGAAGTCCGCCACCCTCAGTGACGTGGCTGAAGGAGGAATCCCACGGGGAAGACATCCTCTGGATCAAGTCAGACACCCCGGGTTATAAACTCGCCAGTTCGAACATGCATCACAGCCTCATCTTACTGGATGTGAAGAAAGGATACAGCGGGAACTACACCTGCATTGCTTCCAATGAAGCGGGCCAGTCCATCTGCAGCGCGTCCTTAGAAGTCATGGACGGTGAGTTCTGCACTGCCGCCATCTTGGAATATTGATTGACTTATTCATTAAACTTGTCTACACAGCACCGATGGGCGGCAAACACGGCTCTGTGCAGTTTACATCCAAAATGAAAGGAACATAGCATACAACGAAATAAATCTTGAATAAGAGGCTAGATACTAACACCACAAGCAAGGCAGCCTGAAACCTGGAAACCAACTGATGGCAAATGGGCGACATTGTGGTCATCAGTCAGTGAAACATTAAGAGAGGATGCTTGTAAAGGGTTGTCAACAGCCTTGTTTGAAGCATCCTCTTGAAAATGGTCCTGCCACTTATGTGTGTTGGCTGCTTTGTAAAACATCCGCTGTGTCCACTCTGACCACTGGGTTTTTCCATAGGTACCACCGTAGAACCCTTAGCTATGGAGAATGGCTTGGGTATGAGATGCCTCAAGCCTCATATTTGCTCCCAAATACTACTTTAATCACAATAAAACTGTGTGCCGTCAAGTCGATTCTGATTTATGGAGACCCTTTTCAGGGTTCCCGAGATAGAGAGGACTCAGAAGTGGTTGACCGTCTTCCCTTCTCCTGGGGCCGTCCTGGGTTTGTGCAGCTGGCCTGGTGCCACCCAGGCTGGCTCTTCTGTGGGAGGCCCAGTGGGGAATCAAACCCCCAACCCTGGTGCTCTAATTCACCGAGCTATCCAGCCAGGGATGACTTTACAGAGTATGAATTTATGAAGAAGACAGAGAACATGGAAATAGAGAAACAGAATGAGTTCAACGGGCTGCTTTTTTGGCAGACTGCAAGCGCTCCCTTGACCGCAGGATGAATGGCTTGGCTTTTGCAGGGCGCTGGAGCCTAGATTTCTGGGTTCGTTTAACGGAAATGCTGATGTGCCGGTTCTAGGCATGCGCGTTTGAAACAGAAATGCATTTCCAGACGAAGGGGGTGAGGGAGGTGTGACAAAAGCAAAGCTTGCCCCTAGGATTTAGCGAAATGAAGAAACGGGGGGCAATGGAAGGAACCCCAAAGGGAGACCCTTAAAAGCAGCTGCCGTGGAGTCCAACATGATGCGCTCTGTGTGGTGGCATGCTCCCTCCCCCATGGTAACACAAAGAAGAGTTGTGGGGGTTTGGATGGCATGAAGGATGGGGGTGACATAGAAGGAGGAGCCCGCACTGGCTCTTCTAGGGGGACCGAGCATAAACACCTCACCGGGAGATGGCCCTGCAGCCTTGCCCATTTAAAGGGTGGATTTCAGAGCCTGGTTGGTCACAGAATAGGTGGCGCTGAGCCAAATCAAAGCCTTTGCTACGCTCCACATCCAATGTCTACAACCTCTCTTGCCCTAACTTCATGAAGTTGTCGAAGGATGGGAAATCTGTTCCAGTGCAAAATCCTCTTTCTGACATCCTATTACCTATTTGTTGTTGTTTGTTTAGTTATTAAGTCGTGTCCGACTCCGAAGGATGGGAAATCTGTTCCAGTGCAAAATCCTCTTTCTGACATCCTATTACCTATTTGTTGTTGTTTGTTTAGTTATTAAGTCGTGTCCGACTCTTCGTGACCCCGTAGACCAGAGCACGCCAGGCCCTCCTGTCTTCCACTGCCTCCCGGAGTTGGGTCAAATTCATGTTGGTTGCTTCGATGACCCTGCCCAACCATCTCATCCTCTGTCATCCCCTTCTCCCCTTGCCCTCACACTTTCCCAACATCAGGGTCTTTTCCAGTGACTCTTCTCTTCTCTTCTCATGAGATGGCCAAAGTATTGGAGCCTCAGCTTCAGGATCTGTCCTTCCAGGGAGCACTCAGGGTTGATTTCCTTCAGAATGGATAGGTTTGTTCTCTTGGCAGTCTAGGGGACTCTCAAGAGCCTCCTCCAGCACCACAGTTCAATTACCGATTTACACCAGGGTAACTCCAGGAAGGTCCATTTTAGTGGTGAATCGGTCCAAGTGAAGAAATCCTGCAGCCATAGCAGAGATATCTGCCCAAACTTCCACTGCAGCCATTCAGCGCTGAAATGTAACATGCCAGTGGAGTTCCGTTAGCAGTCCTAATGAACAGGAGGCTGGCTGTTAAGTTTCAAATTTTGGCTAACCTTTGTTCCCCTGCAGTGAAAGAGGCCGAATCTCTGACCCAGGAACGTGTCATGGTGACTGAGGCTATTATGGCATCGCTTGGGTAAGTAAATGTCGCTGGACCCTAGCATCTTTTCCTGCAAAACTGGTATATATTCTGAGTTCGTAATGTTTTTGCTGACTTTCATTATTTATGTCTTTAGGGCTGGGGTGGGTGGCTGTGTTTTTAACAGCTGTTAGCTGGCCAGAGGAGTGTTTCGATGGGCAGGGTGTAAATGGAATGGAATGGAATGGAATGGAATGGAATGGAATGGAATGGATGGATGGATGGATGGATGGATGGATGGATGGATGGATGGATGGATGGATGGATGGATGGATGGATGGATGGATGGATGGGTTAGTCAATGGATGGATGGATGGA